GATGTCCAAATTACAACCCCATTCTAAGATCACAGACCACATTATTTTCATAGTGGAGCAGTTTCAGATTTCCTGTGTATGGGGTGTTTTTAGGTCAGGTCTGCTAATGAGCTCAAAGTGAGTGACAAAAATCCCCCTGATGAAATGACGTAACAAAAATTAACTCTGAGTGTGTCCCCCACAATGGGTAACAATGTTGGCACTTGAATGAGAGCCAGAACAGGCCAAATTTCTGTTCCTGCCATTTTTAAAAAAAGAAACACATTAGCCTATCTTTCCTCATTCTCCAATAGTGAAATGTAAAAATAGAACCATGCACTCCAGAGGGCTCCAAGGGCTCTTTTCATTAATGTGAAAAATCCATAATTTATAGCTCTGCAGCATGAATAGGTTTGGAAGACATTTAATCACTGGTGAAAATGTCATAACCCCAACCCCACTCCCATGAACATATAGATAGCTCCCAGCTATTCATCTGGGCTGGCTGGGAGCTGCTCCAGGGCTCCATGCATTCTCCCTGGTGACTGAGGGGAAAGGAACACCTTGTGAGAACTGCTGGTCCAAAACACAGCTTACACTGAAAATACACAAAGACTCATTTCAAAAGGCAGATAAGTGATATCAGTTGCTTTCTAAATAGAATACATTTTGCTTAAGTACTATCCAGTGGGGATCAAGTCACACTTTTGATCCTGTCACACTTCTAGGTGTGATATGTGGCCAATGGGAATGAAGCTTTAAGAAAATCTGTCTTGGTATTAAGGATGGGAAGGATTCCAAGGATTAACCTGTATTCAACTTCAGACCCCTCCACAAGCAGATTTGAAGGTTCTGTGCTTTTTCCTTTTCCTGTACTTAAGGAAGATAGAAAATGTTTTGCTGTGAAAATAATCTGGTTTGAAATGTCTCTTATGTTACCAGAGGGATCACAATTAAATTAATCTACCTTGTTGTCTGATTACACTCATAGATGGATCTACTTTTGCTTTCTACAATTTCTCCAGATCTACTGTCCCTTTACAGTGAAGTTTAAAGGCAGGTTAGATACTACATGATTCTCTTGATGTTCAAAACCACCACAGATGCTCAAAAACTGCTTCCTTTTAACAAAATTTTATAGAAATCCAAGTCCTATTTTAAAGACCTGTATTACTGAAAGGCTAGGTACTGATTTTGAAAATAATATGAGTGATATGAAATGTGTGCTTCGTAAAATTGATGAAGAAGACAGTAGTTAGTGGAAGTATTTAAAATAATGGAGAGCAGCTTCTATTCCATAACTCAAAAATCACTCATCTGATTGCAGAAAATGAAAGAATGTAGCTTAGAGAATATAAAAATAAAATCAACTCAAACCAGAACTAAAATGTGGGGCAGGAATTAAGATGATATTCAGGGTCATTAAATCCAAATCTCACATAACTATATGCTATTTTAAAGGTGGAGACTAATTTCCAGGCTTTCCATTTCAACAAACCTAAAGAAGGATAATTGTGGTGTCTCATTCCGACAATGCATTAATAATCCCTCTTTAGATCCCCCAGCACCAAATCAGAAATCCTGTCAGCTTGTGAGAAACAGTGGATATGGTAGAACTAGATACTGCTTTCTAAAATTAGTGCAAAAATCTCTTTGGCTTCTGTTGCCCTGGCAGGTTCTGTGCTGGAGCTGGTGTTACCTGTGGCATTCCAGCTTCACGTGGCCCTGTCTGTAAAGCAAAAGGCAGAAAGGCCTCATTAGCTCAACACTGTGCCAGTTAATTAATTAATTAATTGGGTACAAAATTTACTGTCTGTGATTTCTACATGGCTTTCACGTACTGATGATGATCATTGATTATTGATTGATAATCTCTTGGTTTGAGATGCAGCAAAGGGCACAGGGAGTGGCTGGGATATTTCCTGTCCATCTCCTCTTCCCACCTTTCTGCAGTGCAGGCAGCTGGAGAAGGGAAGATGCCTTTGGCTGGCAGCTCCAGGCTCCCAGGATGGAGCTCCACAACCGCCTCAGCTGGAGCACATCTGCCTGGAGAGGCACAAGCACATCATCTCAAACACATCACCTCAAACACATCATCTCAAACACATCACCTCAAACACATCATCTCAAACACGTCACCTCAAACACATCACCTCAAATATATAATCTCAAACACATCACCTCAAACACATCATCTCAAACACATCATCTCAAACACATCATCTCAAACACATACTCTCAGTGTATCTAATTCTGACCACTCGCTGCTGAGCTTTCACTGCCTTCATCAGAGGAGGAACACAACGTGCTCCACAGAGTATATTAAGAGTCTGCAAAATTTAGAGGTAAGCATAATGAAGGAAGAATCTTCCTGAACCTGTCAGCATTCATCCCTTTGTTAGCTCCCAGATATGTCAAGGACACTCAGGAAAATAAGCTGAATTAACCAAAAAGGTATAAAATCAAGGCAAATTGCACAGATCAGCTCTGCTAGGAGGATGGATTTTCCTTCAGAAATAAAGATGGTACAACTTGGTTTCACTCATTTCAAAGGGAATTGCACTAAAGCAAATTGAGGCCATTTAAATTCTGAATGTGTACATAAAACGATTTATTATGGATTCACTAATACATTTCAAATCCAAATTCATTTGGTTTAGTTTTATTGAACATCCCTGAGAAGACAAGATATAATCCATCTCTAAACATCTGTCCTGGGATTTTTTGATTTTTGCATTCCCTCCTTTTTAATCTTCTTTCTTTTGCATATCTACCATTGCTATTTGAATTTCAAGATAAGTGTCCCACTGGGTAGTGTTAGTTTTTTCCTTTCAAAGGGAAACATATGGAGAAAAACAGCATTATTGCCAATACTAGCCTTAAAAATATGAGTCAGACCTTAAAAAATGAGGAGATTTATTTAAAAGTGTGAATCCTTCCCCCACAAACAATGTATTTACTTTTATTTAATATGCATCTGATATTTTCAATGTATGCCAATCACTTTTTCAAGCTGTGATACAGCAAAATCTGGCTTGGCCAGGGAGCCCCTGGACTGCAAAAACCAAGGTTAGAATAAAACTACCAAATAACAGGAGAGATACAGAGCTCTGAGGATTTAAATTCTGGCAGACAGGAGCCAGGCCAGCACTAGAGCTGGATCAGCTAAAATGAACCTGTTCCATGGGAGGCAGAGAAGACAGAGACTGGCCAGCTCAAACCTGGCAGCTGGGGAGTTCAAATCCCAGCACAGAAATGGCCCTTTTTTCTCCTTATAGTTTGCATAAAACTGAAGTCCTGCTTGCTGGAGGGATCCAAGTGAAATGCAATGCTTGAGGCATTTCACTGAATTATGATCAAGTAATCTTAACTTACCAGTCACACATATCAAATTTTTCTGTCTGTCTGGTATCAAGATTTTGTCCTATAATGAAGAAGTGTTTTGATCAAATTTTGGCTTAGAATCTTTTATTTCTTAAAATCAATTCCTTTTTTAGGTTACAGACAATCTTAGTGGTGGTGAGTTTAACTTCCTTTAGCAATAGAAACTTCACAGTATCAAGTGTTCTGCAGCCGGGTCAACCAGGTCAGAGCGTCCTTAAACGAATTTGTGAAAAAAGTAACAACTCCTGCTTGAAACTATGGATTTTTAATCAAAATAAAACTTTAATACAAGTTAATGCACTGAGGAAATATTTCTGACTTGTAACTGGCTTCATTCAACAGATGTGAGTTCACTGTGCATCCACAGATGATGTATTTAAAGCATGAGCAGCATCACAGAAATGTCTTTTCACAGGAGATAAGCTCAGAACTAGTGCTATGCAACACTCATAGAGTTTGAATAAAGAAGGAATCAAACTGTGATGCTTGCTCCAAAAAGCCTGGAAACAAAGCAATCCCTACAGGTTTTCTCATAAATATGATTGAGAATTGATCCAAACCTTCAGAGGAACCTCTCCCAGCCCTCCAGCACAGCACCTGAGATTTTCCCCAAGCAGTGCAGGGGTGGAAGGATGGAGAGAAGAGCTCCTTCCTGTCACATCCACACTTCCTGCAAGCCTGACAGCATCAAACCTCAAGCCTCAAGCCCACTCATCAGTACAGACGGGCTGGAGAGTAAAAGGGATTTTTTTCATAGCCCCACTCAACAGAATTCCTTTCTCCAAGCTTGTGCTGTGAATGCATTAGCAGCCCTTCAGGGCTCAGCACTGCATGGGAGCTTTATACTACACACAATACAAGTTATATAAGAATAATTGCTGCCCTGCATGCTGTGAGATTTGATGAAGGACATGTCTACTTCTGTATGTTATTTTTTTCTTGAAGACATAAGTGTACCATAAACAAAGAACATTAATTATAAAGCAGCTCCCTGGAGAAATAGAAATTACTTGAGGAGCAAGAATGGTTGCTCTGTCCAGGCCATGTCCCACTGAGATGAAATTTGTTTCCATTTACATCACACGTATTTTTCCTACAGCATCCTGTATTTTCCTGACTTTTCATTACAGCCCATAGTACATAAGGCTCAGTGAATTCCACATCTATTCTTCACAAAATACAGTAAAAATGTTTACGTGGTGTATTTAGAGCTTCAGGGGATAAATATGCAGTTTTTACAGGTCAGAATTTTAAGCCAGACATATAATCCTCCTTTTCCCCTGAAAGAATGAGTGTCCTGAAGACACAGCAGCATATCTTGTATTTCCATCAGATTCTTTTTGCAGGAAGGTTTAGTTGAACATTCCTAATAAATTACATGAGGGCAAATGAAGGGAAACTGTGTTAAATATGATTATAACTACTAAACAACAGATTCCTGTATCTGTAAGATTGTGTCATGCCTGTTACAGGTTGGAGTGAAAGAACAGCTATTTGTCTTCCAGTCCAACATGCATTTTATTTAAAATACAGATTTATCTGCCTTGAGGTAAGCAGGAGGGTGTACTACAAAAATCCTGAGGTTTCTTCAGACTCATGGCGCTCATGATCCCCACGACAAAAACACAGTGTAAACCTCACAGAAAATCAGCATTTATTGAGGGTTCTTCAAAGACAGATTGGTGCACAGGAGCTGGGCTCAAGCAGATAGATATTCAGGCTTCTCTTTCATTTTTCCTGGGACACATCCCCTGGGCCCAGGGATTCTACTGAGAATTTCTATCCACATGAAAATACAGCCAACTGGGAAAACACAAAAAAAAACCCAACGGAGTAAAAAGAAGCCAACAGTTGTAATGGTCATTTACTCACTGAGACTATAAAATCTCAAAAGACAAAGTAACTGTGTCTTAATTACAGCACCACAATTTACCTCCACAGCCTTTCCCTCTAATTCTGAACACACAGTTGAGCTGTTTCCTGTCCTGAACAGTTGTGTGGTACCACAAACTGCATTTCAGGGATTTCTGTGTTCCGCTACAACAGAAAATGATGTTATCCCAGTTGGTATGCAAGGATTTACTTGTTTAAAACATGACTTGTATTTTGGAACCACATAAATACAATTTATTTTATGGTCCATCTATTGATGTGGTGCATAAAACTGTGGAGTGAGTTCTGCACTCTCTCTTACAATGTTGGAGGAGCAGCACTGAAATGAGGGTTCTCCACTACACATATTATATCTCTGTGTCCTGAATTTGTGGGAAGGAGCAACCAGATACTCTCAGAAGCCTCATTCCATGATACTGAAAGCAGGAGATGAAGAGTCCGTCCCAAAAACATTGTGCTACAACACAGAACAAATTATTTCATTCAGAATTCGGTTTATATCCAACTTAGTCCCAAATTGTTCTGGTAAGTTATATGCAATGAAATTAAAGTGAGTCTAGTCCAGAATTTAAAAATCAAATATTCTGGAATAGGCATTAACAAGTGTGAGGGAACTGAATTGTTCTCTGGAGCTAATTGAAGAACTTCGTCTAAGGGCAGGGAAACCTGTTTTGATACTTACATTGCTAATGAGATGCAACGTAAAATGACTTCCTAGTTATTATGCTGAAATATGTCATGCATATTCAGAAACTATCTCTGAGGAACTGAAACAATTTAGGCAAGATGAGCTACTAAATACATGAAAGGAATTGCCTTCATGATCCAGCTAATGATTAGATAGGCTTCACTGTTAAAAATAATGATTGAGCCAAAAAAAAAGTACGTTCACATTAACTGCAACCACTAGAAGTTACTGTGAACATGCAGGCTGAATGGCAGTTTAATTTTGTTTCAACTGTTTGCTTTTCATTTGTCTTAAAAAAGCCCAAGAGTCAATTTATGTTATTTGCATATGTGGAAAGTCAGCATCAGTTTTCTTGGAGTTGTCTGATGACTAAAGTATTACCAGCTATTCATTAAGGTAGTACAAAAGTGCTTTAACTGTCAAAACGAAGGGGTTTGACACTGTAATGGTGCATATTCACCCAATAAATTTAAGCTAAACACCAGGAAAAATATTATTCAAGTGGCACCTACTTAATACAATCATGCAGTACTTTCCTGCCAATTATAAAGATTTTAAGAAATCCAAAGGAGAGCTGCCCTGCAGCATGTTAGGTTACAACTAGAACAAGTTTCTAAACTGAAATTGATAAATTCTCAGCAGAGTTACAATTAATTGAAAAACAGAGATGCTTGTCATCTTCATGATCCTTAATGTTTTTCAGCATCCTCCATGAACAAAAGATAAGTTAATATGTCCAGGAAAATCTCCAGAATCAGCACCCAGATATGAAATTTGATCCATCCACCTGATTAAATCCCCCAGAGCCCAGAATCAGCTGAGGAAGGGTCTGTGCAGCCCTGAAGTGTGGGCAGGAGGTGGGATATGCTCTGGAGTGATCAGAGATGGTCCAACACAGATTTTAGCTGCTGCTGCTGACAGGTTTTAACCTTCAGAGCAAGACTGCAAGGACAGGGGTCAGGGAGTCTGATTCATTTCCAAGCTCATTATTAAATCTGTCTCACCCAGGATATTTAATCTCTCTCTGTTTACAGAGTTAATGTCTGGTTTATGATCTTCTAACATAATATTTGGGTAATTTAGAGCCTGTATATTTTTAATATGATGTTAAGGCTGTGACTAACTCAAAGCCCTTTCACCCAGACTTCTCCTGGCATCCCATCCCATCCTTTAGAATTCCTGGGGCTGCAAATGGGCACTGGTTTACTTTTGCACAGGATCAGTTGCAGTATTGGGGCCCTAAATTCTATATACATAATAACAAAAAAAAAAAAAAAATAGTCAAAACTTACCCAACAAACAGAGAGGCATGAAAAGCCCTTCAGGAGAGAATTTTTGAAAAAAAATTTGACATACTCAGTACACTCCATGTGCACTTCCTGTGAGGAGGCAGAAGGGAGATGGTGGCAGTTTTTGATTGGAACAGGCAAAGTAGTCAAGTTGAAGTAAAAGATGTTTTAAGCAGAATTTTTAGAAGCACCTAGCCCCAGGTAAAGAGAGGCTGAATGCCTGCACTCCAGATTTCCTAATCAAATCAGACAGATTCGCTGGGTATAGAGTATTTCTTGCTTGGGGAAACTGATAATTGACCAATTTTCAATTGGAGGAACCTGTGACTTTGCTGACTAGGGCAGTTTAAACATAGAAGTCACCCACTGTAGCCTCAAGCTCCCAGAAAAGTAGAAAAATTAATTTAACAGCCCAATTTTCTTTTGTAAGGAAAGCTTAAAAAAATATCTATTTTTTAAAATTAAGTTACCAAGCCAACACTCTGTCTCAAAACTGACACTTCACCTTGCCTGGGAATCCTGCACATTGCAATGGCTGGAGCTGATGCAGCTCAAAAGGCACACAAAGTGACAGAAACAGTAATTTCAGAACATATAGAAATGTATGGGGCATCCACAGCTTCTCCGGGCAGCCTGGCCCTACTGGGAGATTTAATTTTTCATAAATGTAATAGAGGCTTGTTATCCTTGATACTCTGATGAAAATGCCAACACAAAATCAAACTATGTGAGAATCCTGCTAATTTGTGAAAGATGCTGCAAGGAAAGGTGCACAAGTCAACCCCCAGATGGAAAGGCTGTGGCAGGAACTCCTGTGCTGGATGGTGCAAGCCAGAACAAGTCTGGTGGTATCACAGTTACTTTAGCAGATAAAATTGGTCTTGATGACCTGGACACCTTTGTGTGGCTTTGGTCCATGCCTGGAACATGGCACACCAAACTGCAATGTTCAGCTTTATTACCTCAAATTCATGTCAAATTAATGCTGTGAAAAGTTCTTTCAACAGACCACTGCCATCCTCAAAGAGTGGCATATGTATGGTATCTCAGAGGCTAAATTACTATTAACATGCAAATTAAAATCTAACCCCCTACATTGCAAGCTCAGATTAATAATCCAGGTGGATTTTTTCATGTTCCACACTACAGATTTGGACTAGAGCCCAACCCATTCACCTGCAGCTGCAGCATCATTACCATCATACACACACACAAAGTGGGAATGTGTCATTTGATCAATAAAGAAAACACGTCTGATTAACAGCCACAAATAGCTGATGTATTGACTAAAACAGTGCCAATATCTCCCTACACTCATCTTGATTTCTTTTGCTTTCCTTTTATTTCACTACTGTCTTTTACAATAAAAATATCTTTTGCTGACAGAAAGAAAGCTCCAATTTTTTTTAATGAAGATCCTTTGTAACCACAAAGGACATGTAACTGCTCGAGAAAAGATATGGGAATTTTGAAATAGTAAACCCATGTTTCTCATATCTGTATCTTTAGAAAGATAGCTGTTTGTGCCTCCTGAAGATGAAATGTTTAATGGAAAAATTTCCTAAGGTTAACAAATAGCTTGTTTGTTCAATCTACAGTTCTCTTATTTATTAATATATGATATACCAGGTTGGGAAGTGATGGCCTTGCTAGAGTTGGATTTGGCAGAACACTGATATTCTTTCAGCTAGTAAGAAAGGTACAATAAAATTATAAAACTAGAAGGAATTCATTTTGAAAGGGGAAGGAAAGGATCTTTATTAAAGCATAGTGCTATCAGAGAGGTGTTCATTACTCTGACTCGTTCATCTCACACCATTAGTGCATCAAAGATTGTTTGCTCTTGGTAACAAAAACTGGAAATATTCACAAACAATTGCTGCAAGGCAATCTCTGCATTTTCAACACAGCTGACTGTGCAAACTCTAAACTGAGAGTGTTGCCCATAAAGTTACTCTGATTAACACATTAACACAGCCCTTTTATGAAGAGGTAAACAAACAAACAAAAAAATGAACACGTTAATGCAGTACTGTTTAAGAAAATAAGGAATCAAAGTATGCTCTCATTACCTCTCTCAATCATTCTCTACTTTTAGTGGAGAGCAGTTGCTGCTGCTGCCCTGACAGCTCGCTCTCCTTTTCTTTTTGCTGTGGCTCAGAGAAGCAAATACAGAAATATTGGGAAATGAATCCACAAAGGAGGATGGAAAATAGCATCAGAAAAAATAACTCAGTATTTTCCAGATTCTTGCTTGCCCGCCTCCTGCAGAGGAGCAGCAATCTGGTATTTATACATTTATGAGGCTGCAGTAGCCCTCCCACAGCAGAGGAATGGGGTTCCCTGCTGCTCCTCAGCCCTTCCACAGAAGGGAAGGGTAAAGGCTCGTGGCTGGTACAGCTCTCACTCCACAGAGCCCTTTCCCTGCCCATTCCCTCCTACTCTGCTCACACAGCCCTGCTTGTTCTCACCCACCTCAAGGAACAAAACTCCTGTCAGTGAGCTTCAGAACACTGCCTGGGAAATGGGTGACAATCCATGTTCATCTTCACCAGCACAGGGATTCAAACATCAGCACAGAGGGACTTGGAGCCAAACCTCAGGCACAACATTTATTGTTTTCTGTTCAGGAATGTGGCCACAAGACCCCAGGTGCTTTTAAGAAGGAGAAAATCAAATGCCTGAGGACTTCATCCCACAGACAGTTGAGATACTGACTTTACAAAGCCATGAGAGTACAGGTGAACTACTTCACTCTCACCATTCTGAGAAAGAGGTTTATTGGCACCAATGCCAAGGTTTCAGCCCCATAGACATGAAAGTGGTAGGAGCTATAAAGTATACAGAGAGTTTCAACTTTAAATGTTGAAAACAAAGCTCATAGTTCTATGTTAACTAAAAATCAGTCTATGCCACATAGGATAATTTACACATCAGTAGCAGACACAACTGAGAAGACCAACTATCACTTTCCAATCATTCACAAGGAAGTTCTGATATGAAAAGCCTGTTAGAGAATTGGATTTAGAATCTCTACTTAAATGCGGAATTTCTATAAATGGATAGGTATTTATCAACCCACCCACTTGGATGCCAGGAAATGTTGCTCTCCAGTTTCAGAAAATCTATGTAACTTATTACACAATTAATGAGCATCATGGTCAACAACTGTTATGAACACCTGAAATCCCAAAAGCTAATTTAACTTGTCTGAATTAAATTCAGAAAGAAGTCAGGAAGAGAAAATTGACCATAAATAACATGTATGATTCAGTTATCTCCCCAGACTGGAGAAGATAGTGACATTTAAAAGAAAAAAAGTTCTAGAAATACATTTTGTGGAAATCATACTGGGGAGACTATTTCAAAGCAATTCATCAGGGTGACATAAATGTGTGATACAATTTTGGTTTACACATTCTGGATGTCCTTTCCACTTCCATCTGAATCAAACCTTCTAAACATGAAAGACTTAACTGATCGATCTGGAGAAAATTTAACTCAGCGGGCATTTAAAGTCACAGATTTTGCAAAATT